CCCGCCAGACGAAGATCGTGGGGCGGGAGGGGAGGAAACCGTTTTACTGAGACCCTCTCCTGACGGAGTGGCGTCCTTGTAGCCTTCGTTCCGAGTTGATTGCACTTGTCAGCGCTGGACAGCAGCCGCTGGGAGCAAGGGAGGACGATCTCTGCTTTCGACCTGGCTTTTTGACTTTTGAGACTAGGGAGTGAATTTAGAAGGAAAGTACGCTTCTAACCCCAAAATAAAAGGCAGAGAAAACTGCTCCTCTTCCTCACGTGTAATGGGACTTTTGTTCTTTTCCAGGGTGGAGCTGTACCTAATGAACTCTAAATTTTAGTCTCTATCTTTTGAAATGGCTCTCAGGTCCAACATTTGAGGCCGGGTCCGTGTTTATCTATTCAAAAAATGGGGCGTGAGGTCAGTTATTTGAATATCCTTTACAAGAAGCTGTGGGTTTTAAACAATACAATTAAGAAAAAAAGGAGCACTTTCGCTACTGTTTTTAACTTTTGTTATGAAGCAAACAACAAAGCAAAATAACTTCTTAGTTTCCACATAAAGTGTTTTAATTGCATGTTCCCTTCCAAATGCTTATATCCAAATGAAGGCGCAGTTTCATATATATATTTTTAAGTTAGCATTGTCATTAATTGCATGTTCCCTTCCAAATGCTTATATCCAAATGAAGGCGCAGTTTCATATATATATTTTTAAGTTAGCATTATCATTGTGATGATTTTTGTCATATTACTACTGTTATTTTTATTGGAGTTGGTTTTTTATCGATTTATCAGCCAAATTGTTAAATATGAAGTTTTTTTTGATTCTTAAAATAAGAATGGCCATCTTTTTGTTTTAACAATTATTTTTATTTAACATCATTATTAATATTTGTTTTAATTGCACAGTTTGAGTCCTGGATGGACCTGGCAGCTTGCTTTCTCACTTTTTCTCTCTCTCACTCTTGTTCTCTGGTCAAATTAAAATAAATGGATAAATGAAGTTAAGTAGAAATAATTAAAAAATAAAAAGTGAGAAAGCAAGCTGCGAGGTCTGTGCAAACTGCTGTCAGCCATGTGCGAGTCCAGTGTCTTAACCAGCATGTCACCTACTGGCCCCCAAAATGGACATCTTTGTAAATACAACCTTAAACAAAATTTAATGTATGTGTCATTTTCAATTTAGATCCTTTGGATACGTGGGACTTCTCCTCACCGTTAACGTCATTATGGATAAATCGGTTTTACATTTATCTGGGCTTTGCCTTTGGCATTAGCCTTTGGATTTGTGTTCAGATTGTCATCAAAAAGCAGGTGAGTGGAGTTATTATTATTTTAATTTAACTGAATTTTTTAGGTTTTTGCCATAGGGCATGTGTGCTCTCTGCAGAGAGACAGAGGGAAAGTGAGAAATATACCCCCAGGGGGATGGCCATGTTGAAATTCCTGCTCCTCCTAGGATTTTGGGCACATATGCACATGTATCTGGCATGATTTTCAAGCCTCCATGTCCAGGACTCGAACTGTGGTTGGTCATGTGGGAGTGCAGTGCCTTAACCACCATGCTGCCTGCTTGTTGCATTATAATAATTATTTTTTTGCTATAGGGTGCATGTGCTTGCTGGAGAGACAGAGAGAAACAGAGAGGCAGAAAGTGAGAAATCATCCCCCCAACCCCCACCCAGGGAGACATGGCCATTCTGCAATCCGTCTTCCATTCTCCTCCTGGGATCTTGGGCACACACAAACACCTGCTCCCAGTGTGAGTTTTAACCTACTGAGTCAGGGACTTGAACCATGGTCAGCCATGTTGGCGTCCATTGATAAAACCACTACGCCATCTGCTGGCTTCTTTCTTTGTTTTTTAATTTGCTGGAGTGCAAATGTGCTTGTAAGAGAGAATACCATCAATGGAGAATTGATCCCTTCTCCTCCATTTCTCCCTCCCTTCTAGATTTTGAGCATTTATTCACACACGCCTGCTGTATTTTTTAGCTGCCAGGTCTGGGATTCAAACCACATAGCCATGTGGGATCCAGGTGCTTAAACCAGCATATCATAGGCTAGTGCCAGATTTTCTAAGACTTTCAGAAAAATAAAGAAAAGCTAAAAGCTATATATTAACTAAACTTTATACTAAAGCTAAACTTTATTTTTTTAAGAATTATTTTATTGAACTTTATTTATTTATTTGTTTGTTTGTTTGTTTTAATTTGACCAGAGAGGGACAGAGCGAGAAAGAGAAAGGGAGAGAGTAGAAGTAAGAAGGCAAGCCACCAGATCCAGGACTTGAACCATGGTTGGCCATGTGGGAGTCCCAACCTCCCACCACCATGCCACCTACCAGCCCCACTAAAACTAAACTTTTTAAAAAAATTTTATTTATTCATTTATTTATTTTTAATTTGAGAGAGAGAGAGAGAAAGAAGGGAAGCGAGAAAGCAAGCCACCAGGTCCAGGACTTGAACTGTGGTCAGCCATGTGGGAGTGTCCAGTGCCTTAACCACCATGCCACCTGCTGATCCCCAAAGCTAAACTTTTTAAAAAAATTTTTTAAATTTATTCATTCATATTTTAATTTGACCAGAGAAAGACACACAGACAGAGGGAAAGTGAGAAAGCAAACCACCAGGTCCAGGACTTGAACTGTGGTCAGCCATGTGGGAGTGTCCAGTGCCTTAACCACCATACCACCTGCTGGCCCCCACTAAAGCTAAACTTTAAATTTCTTTCATATTTCCAGTTTTTAGGGACTAAGTTGTCATGTATTAAATAATTTACTTTCCTTCTGAGGGGTTGTGGGCATTTCAGTCTTAACTCATAAGAAGATACGTGTGTGTGTATTTAATTTGACAGAGCTTGTGCTCACCAGAGAGAGAGAAAGAGGTAAGTAAAAGGAAAAGCACACCCGGTGAGGTGTGGTCATGTTGAAATTCCTTCTCCATTTCTCTATCCTTCTGGATTTTGGGCATGTACACACATGTCCTTGGTGTGGTTTTCAAATCACCAAGGCCAGGACTTGATCCTCCTGTTGGCCATATGGGATTAAACACTAGCCTATAGATCTGACCCACAAAAAGATTTTTGTAATGAAAAAGAAAACTTTTATATTAAAAAAAAATCTGTTTTGCATCTTTGAGGGATAGCAGTTCTCTCTTCCTTTCTAATACTAAGGTCCAGAAAATAAGTTCTTACTCTTATTCCACTAAAACATTATAGATGAAAATATGTACAGGAGTCCCCCATTATCCATGGGGATAAGTTCCAAGACCCCCAATAATGCCTGAAACCATGAATGGTACTGAACTCTATATCTTCTATCTTTTTTCCTTTACATACATCTGTGAATAAGTTTAGTTTATAAATTAGGCACAGTAGGAAATTTTTTTTTTTGGAGAGGTTTTTGCTATAGGGTATGTGCGCTCGCCAGACAGAGAGAAACAGAGAGATAGAATGTGAGAAATCACCTCCCGGGGGGATGGCCACGCCACAATCCCTTCTTCTCTATTCTCCTCTCGGGATCTCGGGCATGCACGCACATGCGCCCGGCGTGAGTTTTAAGCCACCCGGTCTGGGACAGATACCGCGGTCGATTACATGGGAGTCCAGCGACATAGCCATTACGCTAACTGCTGGTCCCAGGCACAGTAAGAAATTAATGGAAACAATAATAAAACATTTATAATAATATATAATAATAGTTACATGACTGTGGTCTCTTTCTCTCAAACATTTGGCTGTACTGGTGTTCATTTGTTTTTGGACTGTGATTGACCACGGATAACTGAAAAGATTGGGAAGCAAAGCTGTGGGTAAAAGGGAGATGACTATAGATTTTTTGTTTTTGTTTTTGTTTTTTAAATAATTATTTATTTTATTTATTCATTCATTTATTGTTTTAATTTGACCAGAGTGAAGGTGACAGTGAGAGAGAGAGGAAGTGAGAAAGCAAGCCACCAGATTCAGGACTTGAACCATGGTTGGTCATGTGGGAGTGTCCAGCGCCTTAACCACCACACCACCTGCTGGTCCCCAAGACAACTATAGATTTACCCTGGACGGAATGGGAATCATTATAGCCTTAAAAAATGTTATTCTCGGGACCTGCAGATGGTGTGATGGTTAAGATGCTAGACAGTCCCACATGGTTGACCATTGTTCGAGTTCCGGACCTGGTGGCTTGCTTTCTCACTTTCTCTCTCTCTTCCTCTGTGTCTCTCTCTGGTCAAATTACAATAAATAAATCAATGAATAAAATTAATAATAAATAATTCTTTAAAAAAATGTTATTCTGGGGACCAGCAGTTGGTGTAATGGCTATGTCGCTGGACTCCCACGTTGTTGACCCTAGTTTGCGTCCCGGACCCGGTGGCTTAAACTCACGCCGGGCGCGTGTGCGTGCGTGCCCAAGATCCCGAGAGGAGAATGGAGGAGAAGGGATTGTGGCGTGGCCATCCCCCCGGGGGGTGATTTTTCGC